GGCACTAGCAGAAGAACTCCTTCTAACCAAGGACAAAGTAGACTTATTATTTATCGATTCCTTTGCTTTTGTGAGCTTTCGTTCTATTAAATATACGTCATTAAGTTAACTAACATGAAAATATAAATAGGACTCATAATGTATATTACATGATATAATAAATAAATCTAGTGAATCATACCTTTTTTTCCTTTTAAAGAAGATTTACTCATGTCTTTTATAACACCCTCTTTTCTCAATCTATTATCCTGTCGTTGCAGAGTAGCTAAAATTGCTCTTTGCTGACGAGGATGTTTGTCAATTCTTTTAAATTCAGCCAAAGTCATATATGGTCGAGGTGGTTGATCAGTTTGAAAAAGATCAGTCGCTTGTAAACTATGTTTACGCGTGGTACCTATGGTAGAAACCTTTGAACTTCCACTAGAAGTATTTGATAACCTATTCAAATAATAATTTGCAGTAGAAGTTCCAGGAACACTCGTCTGGGAAAAAGAACGAACAACTCTCCCTCTAACTTGTGTTCTAAGATCTGTTGCTGATTGTGATTTTGGAAGAGCAGGACGTTCCCCATCGCTGTTATTGTTGATATTGTTGTTATGTAGAGGTGAAATAGAATCTAGAGAATACTCTGGTAAGGGTGATTTTTCACCGATCGGAGCAGAAACAGAAACTTGTATTGGACTAAGTTGTTTGCTAATTTTTTTGTTAGATTTGAATTTACTAAAAGTTAAAGGTGTGATTGAGATTTTTTCTGTAAGAAAAAGTTAAGCAGTATAAAATTTCCGAGTTAGAAACATGAGGTCTAAATTTAATAAAATTAAAAAAACAAAAAACGAAATAATTGATAAATACCTTTATTATTTTGCTTCATCGCGAATACAAGCGAAAAGACAGAAGAACAAAAATATGATGAAGCAATTCAAGCTTCTTTATGGTCACTACATTAGTGAAACGTACGATCGTCAGTGAAACAAATAACAAAATTTATATTTATACCAAAAGAATTCGGAATTTACGTCGTAACAGGTATAATTATTATTTATGCGTGTAATTTAATTGTTATGATAACATATCCGTTATCTCTATATATATTTAGTTATTACACTACTTGGGCGCGTCGAAAAAAATTCTCATATTACAATTATTGTTACCTTTATGTCCCGTAAATCCGGACTTAAAAATTTATTCCGAAACAAATCGTCTTGTATAACCAAAATAAACTTGAAAGACAAAAGAAATGCAACACAAATTTATTATGTATATTTCGACTTTTAACAGTTAAGTAAAAACTTAAGTCAGAGTTGGTTCATTTCCCGCCCACTTATCGCAGATTTATACTGTATATGACATAATAGTCATAAGCGTGCATGCCAAAGTGCTTAAAAGTTTATTAGGCATCTCATTAGTTAATAATACTCGAGAAAAAAAAAATAGATATAAATAAAGTTTATAGTTTATTATACAAATGATTTTAGGCATCTCCCGAATGATGATTCTGCATTATACATAATATGCCTACGTACAGTACGTATAATATATTTTCCATCCTTAGCAAATGCCTATTATTTAACAATTAAGAGGTAGATCGCGAATAGAGTATAAATTCCATA